TCACAGATTAAGAGCAAGCAGACCCCTTCCCACCCACCCCACACTATTAAAAAGACAGCATCAGAAAGCACAGAACGTCAAACTCCAGCGATTTGAAGCAATTTTTGGCAGAAGAAGTTTTACAGAGCAAGTGGTAATCAGTGCTAAAAGTTATTATTATTATTATTTTTCTGTAAGAAACTACGAGGAGTTTTACTGGGGACCTTGGTTTTCCTGAGAGCCATGCTCTTCACTTGAGGAGGTGGGAATAGAAAAACACAAAGGGAACATGGCCAAACACTGCTTGTTATTCCCAGAGATAGAAAGCATCTTTATCATTATCATCATCATCATCCACATTTTTTTGTCTTTAAAAAAATATCTAAGTGATGGAAGAGTAAACATTGTTTCTCAAAAGAAAGGAAGAAGAAGAATAAAAGGAACATTCTGTAAACAAGGCAGTGCTCCCACACTGGAGCCCCTCCCAAAATTAAAAAAGAAAACCAAACCAACCCAAAAAGCCTATTGAAAGTGCAGGGCCCCACCCGGGCGTGCAGGTGGGGGTGCAAAGTCACAGCTGTGCGCGCAGCTTGGCCAACTGCATGGCTCCGTTCTTTAGTTTAACTCCACATGAACACAGAGGTGCAATAATACTTTTCTCACTTGTAACCCTTGGTTAGTCTTGGCACGCGATTGTTTGGGCGCCACAGGGGGCTGCCAGGCAGGCGGGCGGGCAGAAGGCCAACCGGAGGGGGGGGCTCTCCTGGTCCAGAGCAAAGAGTGCCCGCCTGCCTGTCCTCCTGGAAATGCTGCTGCCCCCCCTTTCCCTCCCCATCCGCTGCCGCCACCGCCCCCCCCAGGCACACGGCGGGGCAGACGGGGGGGCAGCAGCAGGTGTGCAAAGCTTTAAAAACTCCCACTCCAACATGGTCAGACAGTTGGGGGGCGGCCAAGGGGCAGGGTGGGAAGACCCCAAGAGAGAACACGGACACAAGGCATGAAAGCAAGCAGAACTCTACCTTAGGGTTGTTTTTGTTTTTTTTCCTTCTCTTCTTAAAAACTATGTATAGCACTATCTGGAAGTGTAAATCTATAGCTTTTCACATTATGCTCTTGGCCTGCATGATTCAAGTATTCAAACTGGTATATTACGTTTGGGCTAAAACAAAATGGGGGTTCAGGGGGAGGGAGATGTGCACGACATCGTAACCTTTCCACAGGTGATCCCTGGAGGTTGCAGGTAGAGGAGGGGGTGGGGGGTGGGGGGGA